CCCTCTCTCTCTCTCTCTCTCTTACAAACAAACTCTTTTATTATCTGCATCAATAACCATACAACATTAACCTGCCTGGGCAAATCTGGTATGACAAGTTTACCATGCAGGCTTCATTTCTGCAAGCATATTGTATGAAAATGTGTAAATGAGTCTGTTTTTTACACTATGGAAGCTAATTTAAAACATGCTTCAGCTAAAAATGTCTTTTATCATTTTTATTTCATGCTTATTTGATTATTTTTTAATGCAGCTGCTTTCATATTGACCAGTAAATGTAATATAGCGTGTTACACAATATAATGCAACAGCTGTAATATTCTAAATACAATACAACGATCATAGTAAATGTATATGCTAAATGGATCTTAGATAATTTTGTTGTTATATCATTGGGCACAACAATATATTACTGATGTCAACATGCTGGCCTAGTTTAAAATGTCTCATCTCACTATAGTGTCTAATTTATACTTTGAGTTACTTTGAGAGTGTAGTGAGAGAACTGGCCCTTAGCACATACGAGTTAGATCATTTCAGTCTTACACATCAATAAGTCTTTTGCATAACTTCACATTTGAAACTATGTTGCTGTGGGAACCACTCTTGGAAAGCAAACAGTCACATGCACTGTTGTTTAAAATTATTTAGTTTGAGAAATATAACATTACATCTTCAGATTTGTATTTATTTTTTAATCAGATCATGAAGATGACCATTGTGTCAGGCTGAAAGATAATGATGACAGTTCTGTGCAAAGCAAAATTCCTGTTCAAACAGATATATTTAACGAACTCAAAATATGATTTATTTACATTTTTATAGAATGCAAAGCAGAGTTTGATCCCTTTAAATAAATGTATTACAGGGGTTAATGTTTTGGGTAGGGAACAAGCTCAAAATAAAAAAAAATCTAGCTACTTGATAAAATTGAAAAGCTGTCATAATATACACTTTAAAATATAACTTTCATAAAACATTTATAACAAACAGTGAAAAAAGTCAAGTTTGACGGATTAGTCGACTGGCCAATGATACGAGGCCTCTATCAGCACGTGACAGAGGGGTGGATCACGTGTCAACGGAAGAAGGCGCTTTTGTTTTTCCTTGGGAAAAAAGTCGAGGAACAATGTTTGGAAAGGCGATTTGAGTTATATTCTATTTTTCTCTCAAGTGTAAACAAACAATTTTATATAGGACATGAAATCTTTCGGAATACCTAAACTATATTTCCGCGTCTTGAAGCTTGTTTGACGCTCCGTTTGGGAATTCTTGAAGCTGCAGAGATTGCAAGGCGGAAGAAGAAGGGAATTTCGAAGGGACGAACTGAGAGAGCCAAGTGATGGCTCCGGATTGATTTCACCAGAGCTTTGCAATGTTTTTAAACTTTATTCGGATGCATATGAAATCATGTTTATATTTTAAAACACAGATTAGTCTCTGTGTCTCATTAATGTCATAATTTGGACTGATCATTTGCGCTCAAGAAGCTCAAAATGGCGGAGGGCTGGCCCATCCCCCAGGCCCTGTTCCTGTTCATAGTGAGTGTCGCGGGCCTGGACACTTGCCCTTCTCCCTGTACGTGTTCTGGTGGTCCAGGTGCAGCACAATTGCTAGATTGCAATAGGAAGAGACTGACTGCTGCAGCTCTGGAAGCTCCAGCCTGGATCACCCATGCGTAAGTAATAGAGAAGATGTTTACATGCTCTGGTGATCAGCCTCCAGCACTTTGCAGGGTCTGCACATGTGCACAATACTGACGCACAACTGCCAGCTGATTAGTTCACATTTGTTAGTTTGGTGCAATTCTAGTTACTATTTATGAAATGTTTTGTTTTGGCATTACCTTGAAATGTCAAATGATTCCTTGTAGAAATAAAAAAAAATTCCCTCTAAAATAGCGTAATATTTATTTATTTATACTGTAAATAAATCGTTTTTTAGTAACTAGAAAGTATCTTGCACTGATTGGAGCAGACCCTCTACAGCCTACTGTTTGATACATGAATTTCTAAGGTCTCTAAATTACCAACATGATCAAAACTTTGCTGAAAAAACTCTTCCACTTGCCTTCTGTCCTCTCATTGATGAACATACATTTTTTAGCAAGTCAGAGACCTTTTAGTATATTTCTAAAATGTACACCAATGTTGTTGTGCAGCGGTGTTTTTTTCCCTGTGAAATCTTTTAAAGTAAACGTATGAACAACTTTAAATTATATACTATTTCTAGTTTAGTTTCTTTGCTTTGTTTTAAAATCTGTTTTTAAATATACAGTAGTGTGAGTCTTTTTACCAGATCTAACGGTACAAATGATAGACTTGACACTTGCTCCTCCAGTCTTAAAAATTGGGTTATGCACTTGCTACCATTTTTTTTTTTTTGTAAGTGAGTGCAACTAGATAAGCCTTTTGCTATTCCTTTAGTCATTTTCCTCAGTTTTTGGGTTTATAATAAACTGTATTGGTCTGTAAAGTTGTTTCTTTTTTCAGACTTCTTTTTCAGGTTTTAATATATTTTCTCTGTGAATTTAGGTCTATGAATCAGAATGAACTTACAGCGGTGCCTTTTCTTGGAGATGTCTCATCCAACATCACAGTGCTGTCACTGTAAGTTTCCCTCTGCGTTTCATTCTTTTTCAGGCTTCACTGCTGCTTATAGCTGCTGAAATTGCTCCAGTTGCTTATGTAGTGTTACGTAGTTGACTGAAGTGTTCATGTGGATTACATGATTGTTTACTATTTTACTTCTCATTAAGAGTAAATCATGTATGTTGATATGGTACTATAACGATCTGCTGTTAATTTTCAGTGTTCATAACCGAATCTCAGAAGTCGTGGCGGAGCAGCTGTTGCCATATTCATCTCTGGAAAGTCTAGATTTGAGCTCTAATTCTATATCTGAGCTTAAGGCCGGATCATTCCCTCCCATGCAGCTGAAATATCTGTGAGTTTTTGTACTCGGGCTTGTCTGAATTGTGCACTTTCATAAGACTGTTCAAATTCTAGGTAGATTAAGAGAGATTTCTGAAGAAGTTATACTTTTCCCTTGAGTTAAATATTAATTGTTGCTTTGCTCTTTTTGTCATTGAATAATGGATGTTTTTCTTGGTGTTTCTGATTACTTTTGGGGCTCACGGATATTTGTCTGTTTCCTCTCTCCATCACGACAGCAACCTGAGCAAAAACAAGATAAGTTCCTTGGAGCCCGGTTGTTTCGGAAACATCAGCTCCCTTCTGGTGTTGAAGATAAACCAGAACAGACTCTCTGTGCTGCCTGATAAAGTCTTCACCCTCTCTCAGCTCCAAGTCTTGTGCGTATTTATGGCTAATGAATAGGATGTTATTGCAGTGCTCAATTAGATTGTGTCTGACAGGATTACTGCGTGCTAAATACACCTGATATTATCAAGTGTGGAGTTCATTTCCCTTGTTGTCTTGTCTCTCTCCGGTGGTTAGGACAGTAGTTTGGATTTTCTCATTGTAATGTGCCCCTCTTCATGTTTTGTCACTTTTCAGAGAGTTGAGGCGCAACAGGATTCGTGTCGTGGAAAGTCTCATTTTCAAAGAACTGAAGGCTCTTAAATCATTAAAGATGCAGCGCAACGGCATCACAAAGCTGATGGATGGAGCTCTCTTTGGTTTGGAAAACATGGAGGAACTGTGAGTCATTGCTTCCAGGGTTTCAGTAGATCATTTAAAATGTTTAAATAGGAAATATATGTAGCTAAAAATTGCTGTTTTCCAAAAACAAAAAAACATTTTAATTATTTTAAAGACATTTTTACAATAATTTACTGCTTGCATTAAGCAATGTGGCAAAAATGTGTAAAGTGGTGGTTCCTCTGGGGGAGAAAATCATCATCTTAGAGCAATTTATATATATATATATATATATCTAAGATTGTAATTTTGCCAAAAAGGCTGGACAATCATTTATTCATTTTATTAGTATTATTGTTATTATTTTTATTTTGTTAAATTTTTTGGGCTATATCACTCGACTTTAAAGGGGTCATATGATGCGATTTCAAGTTTTCCTTTCTCTTTGGAGTGTTACAAGCTGATTGTGCATAGATAAGATCCCTGAAGTTGCCAAGACTAAAGTCTCAAAACCAAAGAGATATTCTTTATAAAAGTTAAGACTCTGCCACACCCCCCTAAAACGGCTCGTTCTAACACGCCCCCACATATCTACCTTTAAATAAGACTTGGCTTTAGTAGTATTTTTTTAATGATTTTTCTATTTAAAACCATATATCTGAACCTGGAGATTATTATAATACACCCCCCCCCTCCCCCTTTTTAAATGTATAATTTAAGTTTCTATTTCACATGAATCAAAGTAGCGATTTATGGGTGACGTGTGCTCTGTTCTCTGCCAGAGAGTTGGAGTATAATAATCTGACAGAGCTGAATAAGGGCTGGTTGTATGGCCTGCACATGCTCAGGATTCTGCAGGTAAATCAGAACAATATTGGACTCATCCGAGCCGATGCCTGGGAGTTTTGCCATCGCCTGGAGGAGCTGTGAGTGACTTTGGCCCTGACCTTAACGTTTAATCCTATATACAATACTGTGAAATTTTTCGTTTTTTTCTAGAAATGGATGATCTGTCTTTGTTTTTTTCTTGAGGTGTTTGATGAGGTGTATTTGATTGTTAGCTCTCAGGTAATGCGTATGTGTGTGTTTTGATTCCAGGGATTTGTCCTTCAATCACTTGAGTCGTCTGGAGGATTGGGTGTTTTCTGGTCTCAGTCTCCTGCAGAGTCTCAACTTGGGTGACAATCAAGTCTCACACCTGGGAGAAGGAGTGTTCAGCAGCCTGGCTAACGTCCGCACATTGTAAGATAATCAACATTTCCCTTCTGTCTCTCATTTTATGCAGATAATTTTTTTGGTAGCACTATATAAAAAGCCTTAAGTTTATGTATAAAATGCATTTTTTTCTGCTGTGCCAGTCAGGACAGTAATTCAGAATTTAACTTGCCCTGCCAATATTTTCACTCATCCCACTACAAAAAAAAAAAAAGTATATATATATATATATAAGCAACATATAAGTGTTGTCAAAAAATATTTTAATTATATTTATTTATATAATATATTTTTTATTTCACAATAAAATTATAAATATTACATGTTTCTTAAGTTGCAGTAATAGGTGGAAGTATTAGAGTTATAGCAAGTAATAGTTATAACAGTTTTGCTGGTAAATGATGGCATACGGTACTGATTTTTCTGTATTTTTTTTTCTTATATTCAAACATGCCTGTATTTGCACTCAGTTAAAGAACAGGTGTGTTTGTGTTACCAAATGATCTTGATAAAAATAGAAGTAGCACTGAGCTCTATCTCTGTAAGATAAAAAGAGCCCCTAATTGCAAACAGATATAGTCTATCCCTGTAGTTTAAGCCCTATATGAATCCTTCTAGTTTAGTTTCATTTCAGCTTACAGAAAAAGAGCACATTCAAACATGCCCACTTCTCATAACCTCCGCCACGTCCCTTTGGCACAGTTGTAAAAGGGATTTCAGCCTTTTACAGTCAGCAGTGCGTGAAAACAAGCTCAAAATACTCCCACATACCAGCCTGTCCATACAGTACCTTCTATTATACATGAAAAGCATACAATGGCGCTGAGCTGCCTAGAGCCCTAAAACTCAAGTCTCTGTAGATGTACAATCACCCAAATAAACAAGCTCTTGACATTTTAGATTAATAACCGAAAGCATGTTCTACACAGCGGCAGCTTGAAAATATTCTGATGGGTCTCTTTTGATGTTTGTTCGTTCCAGGGACATCCGTAATAATGAAATATCTCTTGCCATCGAGGACTTCGTTGGCATGTTTGTGGGTTTGAAGAGGCTGAACTCGCTGTAAGTTTTTGTTGATGGATACGAGCTGTTTGATCTGACTCAGAGATGTAAAGTGTGGCTTGACATGCGCATATGTGTGTGTTTTCCAGAGTTTTACAGAATAATAAAATCAGGACCATCACTAAGAGAGCGTTCGAGGGTCTGATGGAGCTGGAGCATTTGTGAGTCTCTCTTTTAGCCTTATGTCTCTATTATAACTCAGAAAATGACTTTATTCCACATTATAAACTTTCACAACCTGTTTGTTTTGTAGTCAAGGACAGGAACAGACTTCCATAAAAATATAGAAATAAAATAATAATGTCTGGAAGAGTTTTTATATTACTCCATCCAGTAAAAATGAGACATGAAGTTTTCAAAATACTAAGGGTTTATGAGATATGAAGTCATATCACAACATTCAAAGCAACAGATCTTTTGTTCCGTATTCTTCTGTAAGAAATAAATTCACAATTGCGAGATAAAGCCTTTTGTTTAACTCTTAGGCAGAAATAGGCTTCCATAGTTCCATCTAAGAGCTAAATGTTTACTTGATTCAAGTGAAATTGAGCATCAAAACTATAAAATACAACAGAAAAGACTCCTTTTTAACTCTGACTCTATGAAATACTCTAGGTTATAGATTCATAGATTTATAAGGTTATGCTGTTATATTGTTCTTATTTGTATTTGTGTAAAGACAATATGACTACAATAAAATCCAGTCCATTCCATTATTCAGCACACAAAGAGTTTTTGTTTTGTTTTTCTGTTGTAAGTAATCTTTTTGAATTTGTTCTGCAGGGACCTGAGTAAGAATGGCATCATGTCTATTCATCCTGATGCTTTCACTCATTTAAAACCTAAAACACTGTAAGTCATTCTTTACTTTCTACAGACTGTATGTATTTCATGTATTTTCTGTATCTTTGCATTTTACATAATATATGTTTGTTGCATCTTTGTCTGTACAGACAGTGTTTGTATATTAGAATAGTGTAGTTCAGGTGTATTCTCAATAATGCTTGTATTGTTGTCTTCCTCAGTGATTTGAACACCAGCAGTCTCCTGTGTGACTGTCAGCTGCAGTGGTTGGGCCAGTGGTTGATTGACAGTCAGTTCCAGCAATCCTGCACTGCCGTCTGTGCTTATCCTGCCTTCCTGGCAGGATCTAGTGTGCTTGCTATTAAACCAGAGGATTTTGTCTGTAGTGAGTGACCTTACAATAACAAAATGTCCAAGGCGACCTTCTCTGTTTTGTGTCTTGTGCCAATAAAAAAGCAATTTTATGAAACTTTAAATCTAAGCTCTTTCTTGCAATGAGATCTCTTTATTGTCTCACTCACAGATGACTTCCCTAAATCCCAGATCAGCGCTCATCCCAAGACCGCCGTGGCCTTGCGCGGGACCAACGTCACTCTGAACTGTTCTGCGTTCAGTAGCAGCGATTCTCCTATGAGCACCGTCTGGCGCAAAGACGGAGAGGTGCTGTATGAAGCTCAGGTGCAGAACTATGCTCGGTACCAGGATCACCGCCTCCTCTACACCACCGTACTCCACCTGCTCAATGTCAATTTCACAGATGAGGGCCAGTACCAGTGTGTGGTCTCCAACCATTTTGGGTCCAACTACTCCACTCTGGCCAAGCTCACTGTTAATGGTTAGTGCTTCATCCAAATTGATTGTTACATTATGTTACATAAACAGATTTCGTCCTGCTTTTTCTTCTGTCATAGATCTTATTCAAAAAATTCTTTCTATAAGGCAAAAGCGTATTTTTTGGAGATTAGTGCAATTAGATGGATGATCTGTTGACAGAAAAAAACAACGCAGTTATAGTTGATTCATCCTTTGTGTGTGAATTGGAAATACAATTTAATGAGCACTCTCTAATGTCTATGGAAGCACATTATTAATAGTTCATAATATTTTAGCATGTTTTAGTTGTGCAAGTCTTCATACCCAGAAGTGATCTTTCGCTGACCTCTGCGTACAGCTGTATTTCACACCGTGTTTGCTGGTGTCAGATTGTTCATTTGAAGTGTCGATTATGCGATCATCTGCAAGAATTTTGGATTGGCGTATTGCTAAAGCGCTATGATCTCTCCAATGCTTTGATAAGCAGTTTGCCATTTGTTTTTTCCCTCCCCTTATTTACCCTCATTTCTCCATGGTTGTTTTCAGAGCTCTGTCAGTTTAATTTTCCTTGTCTGTTGAACAAACATAGCAGCCCTCTGGGATGCCGACCTCAGCAATTTAATTATTCTGTTTATATCAGTTCATGATACTGATGGAGGAGCGGATTTGTAACCTAATAATAGAATATAACAATAACAGAAACTTCACAAGAAGATTCACAAAGCAAACACTGTAAGTGCACATGTTGCTATTTAGGGTTTGATTGGCCAATGGGTTGTTTGTTTTTGTACTAGCCATTTAATCAGAGAATGATTTCTGTTGTCACATTTCATAAGTAGAAAATGATGTTAATGTTAGTGTTATATAACATTAGCATTTTATGCTTTTGTTTAGGCAGTTTTCTTACATAAATTAAAGAGTTTAATAACTATTGTACAAGGTAGAATAAGATGAATGGTACCATAAAAAAATACTTATTTTATTATTTAATATTATATTATTTAAATGTTATTAAAATGTAAATATTAGTTTTAATAACAGTTTATTTTAGTTATTAAAATAAACAATTTTTTTTAAATCACTTTAATTGTGATAAGGTTTAGGTCACATTTCTATTTACAGTTTTACATTTTTTTAAAATCCAGACCACTTGATGAATGGATAATAAATACTAATATTAATAGAAGTAATGTTAGGCAAACTAATTTCCCTATTTTGAAAACAAATCCTTACAAGGTAATAAAATAAAAAAGAATAGCAAATATTTAGGCCTAAGTGGGCGAAGATAAAATCTTTGTCATTATTTTATCTTTGTTATTAAAAAAATAAGAACAAAGATACCATTACAAACACACATAATATACAAATAAAACAAACAGTGCTTTATTTTTCAGGTACAGTAGGTGTATTTAGCAGCAGCATTCAAAAAATTGAATGAACAAATACAAAAATAAAACCCTATATACACTTCACTGTATAAATTATACATTTATTCTTATTAAAGGAACTGCATTAAAGTTCTTCAGTCAAGAGCATTGAGTGATTTTTCTCTTTGTGTTTTGTTTTATTAACATTAAAGGGATAGTTCACCCAAAAATTTAAATTCTGTCATTATTTAGTATTTACTCACTCATGTTGTCCCAAACCTGTATTAATTTATTTATTGTGCTGAACACAAAAGAAGATATGTTGAAGAATGTGGGTAACCAAACAGTTGCTGGTCCCCAGTGACTTGCATAGTATTTATTTTTTTTCTATCAAAGTCAGTGGGGACCAGCAACTGTTTGGTTACCTACATTCTTCAAATTCAGCGATTCTCCTATGAGCACCGTCTGGCGCAAAGACGGAGAGGTGCTGTATGAAGCTCAGGTGCAGAACTATGCTCGGTACCAGGATCACCGCCTCCTCTACACCACCGTACTCCACCTGCTCAATGTCAATTTCACAGATGAGGGCCAGTACCAGTGTGTGGTCTCCAACCATTTTGGGTCCAACTACTCCACTCTGGCCAAGCTCACTGTTAATGGTTAGTGCTTCATCCAAATTGATTGTTACATTATGTTACATAAACAGATTTCGTCCTGCTTTTTCTTCTGTCATAGATCTTATTCAAAAAATTCTTTCTATAAGGCAAAAGCGTATTTTTTGGAGATTAGTGCAATTAGATGGATGATCTGTTGACAGAAAAAAACAACGCAGTTATAGTTGATTCATCCTTTGTGTGTGAATTGGAAATACAATTTAATGAGCACTCTCTAATGTCTATGGAAGCACATTATTAATAGTTCATAATATTTTAGCATGTTTTAGTTGTGCAAGTCTTCATACCCAGAAGTGATCTTTCGCTGACCTCTGCGTACAGCTGTATTTCACACCGTGTTTGCTGGTGTCAGATTGTTCATTTGAAGTGTCGATTATGCGATCATCTGCAAGAATTTTGGATTGGCGTATTGCTAAAGCGCTATGATCTCTCCAATGCTTTGATAAGCAGTTTGCCATTTGTTTTTTCCCTCCCCTTATTTACCCTCATTTCTCCATGGTTGTTTTCAGAGCTCTGTCAGTTTAATTTTCCTTGTCTGTTGAACAAACATAGCAGCCCTCTGGGATGCCGACCTCAGCAATTTAATTATTCTGTTTATATCAGTTCATGATACTGATGGAGGAGCGGATTTGTAACCTAATAATAGAATATAACAATAACAGAAACTTCACAAGAAGATTCACAAAGCAAACACTGTAAGTGCACATGTTGCTATTTAGGGTTTGATTGGCCAATGGGTTGTTTGTTTTTGTACTAGCCATTTAATCAGAGAATGATTTCTGTTGTCACATTTCATAAGTAGAAAATGATGTTAATGTTAGTGTTATATAACATTAGCATTTTATGCTTTTGTTTAGGCAGTTTTCTTACATAAATTAAAGAGTTTAATAACTATTGTACAAGGTAGAATAAGATGAATGGTACCATAAAAAAATACTTATTTTATTATTTAATATTATATTATTTAAATGTTATTAAAATGTAAATATTAGTTTTAATAACAGTTTATTTTAGTTATTAAAATAAACAATTTTTTTTAAATCACTTTAATTGTGATAAGGTTTAGGTCACATTTCTATTTACAGTTTTACATTTTTTTAAAATCCAGACCACTTGATGAATGGATAATAAATACTAATATTAATAGAAGTAATGTTAGGCAAACTAATTTCCCTATTTTGAAAACAAATCCTTACAAGGTAATAAAATAAAAAAGAATAGCAAATATTTAGGCCTAAGTGGGCGAAGATAAAATCTTTGTCATTATTTTATCTTTGTTATTAAAAAAATAAGAACAAAGATACCATTACAAACACACATAATATACAAATAAAACAAACAGTGCTTTATTTTTCAGGTACAGTAGGTGTATTTAGCAGCAGCATTCAAAAAATTGAATGAACAAATACAAAAATAAAACCCTATATACACTTCACTGTATAAATTATACATTTATTCTTATTAAAGGAACTGCATTAAAGTTCTTCAGTCAAGAGCATTGAGTGATTTTTCTCTTTGTGTTTTGTTTTATTAACATTAAAGGGATAGTTCACCCAAAAATTTAAATTCTGTCATTATTTAGTATTTACTCACTCATGTTGTCCCAAACCTGTATTAATTTATTTATTGTGCTGAACACAAAAGAAGATATGTTGAAGAATGTGGGTAACCAAACAGTTGCTGGTCCCCAGTGACTTGCATAGTATTTATTTTTTTTCTATCAAAGTCAGTGGGGACCAGCAACTGTTTGGTTACCTACATTCTTCAAATTATCTTCTTTTATATCTTCTTTTGGCATATTTAAATGCCAAAATGTCAATTCTGTTGTAGCATTACAAGTAGAAAATTTTAAATAATAAATGTTATGTGTATTGTATTATATTTATTACATTTATGGTACCATATTCATATACCATGGTATGTATGTTGTACTCCATTGTACTTTTAGAATAATTACTATAATAATGGAATTACTATTGTACATGAAAGAAAGTGGATTTTTCAGGCCTTTCTGGAATTACCTGTGTAAAGCAGTGAAAATAACTCTCTAATGGCTTTTTCCAGAGCTCCCCACCTTCCTGAAGACACCCATGGACCTGACCATCCGCACCGGTACGGTCGCGAGGTTGGAGTGTGCTGCAGAGGGACACCCGACACCGCAGATTGCCTGGCAGAAAGACGGCGGTATCAATTTCCCTGCCGCCCGTGAAAGAAGGATGCATGTCATGCCAGACGATGACACTTTTTTCATTGCTAATGTGAAGACACATGATATGGGCGTCTATAGCTGTACGGCCAAAAACGAGGCGGGCAGCCTGTCAGCCAATGCCACTCTTACTGTGCTAGGTATAGTTTTTTACTATGGTCTAATGGCCAAAATTTTCTTTTGCATTATTTACATTTGATAGTAGTTTAAAAATTAATTGCCTCTGGTCTGTTTGACAGAAACCCCATCCTTCCAGCGCCCTCTAGAGGACCGTAACGTTGCCAGAGGTGAGACTGCTGTCCTCCAGTGCATAGCACGTGGTAGTCCTGCCCCCCGTCTCAATTGGACCAAAGACGACGCTCCGTTGGTGCTGACGGAACGCCACTTCTTCGCCGCAGCCAATCAGCTCCTCATAATCGTAGATGCCAGCCCTGCTGATGCAGGGAAATACATGTGTATCATGTCCAACACGCTCGGCACAGAGCGCGGTCATATCTACCTCAGCGTCTCACCCTCGGCCAACTGTGACCCGGTGACCAGCATATACAGTCAGGACGGATGGACAACAGTTGGCATTGTAGTGATGGTGGTCGTCTGCTGCGTTGTCGGCACCTCGCTTGTGTGGGTCATGGTCATTTATCACATGAGGAGAAAGAGTGAAGACTACAGCATAACAAACACAGGTCAGTGCACAATTTTGCTTGTATTAGTTTAATTAATTAAAATGAAAAATAGTATAAACTACATCAAATAATACATTTGTTTTTGATTGTTATATAATGTCTAGTTAATAGACAATATCAATAGAAAATAATGTTTAGTAGTAGGGCTTTTGTGAAATTTTGGTAATTTTCTTTCCCCCTTAAAATTCCCTTTTTTAGAATGGCAATATATGATTGGATTTTAAAGTACACCATAGTTGCAGTTTTCTCAAATAATCACAATTAGGAAATTATGCTTTTAAAGTAATGCAACACTATTTAACATATAACTTTTCATAAACGGTAACGATGTAGTGCAATTAGTTACATTTTAAAGTATTATATAAGAAATTGTGTTTGTTTTTACTACCTTTTTATAATTTTTTATAAACCTATAATATAATTTGGTGTTTAACAAAAATTGCAGAGTAGATTAACATAGGGATGTAACGGTATGAACATTTCTTATCACGATTATAGTGACCAAAATGATCAAGGTTATCAGTATTATCACAGTATTGTTAAAATGTGCTGGAAATGTTCAAAAAGTACTTACACACAAATCATTTCACCAAATTTTACATTTAAAATCAACAAACAACAAATAAAAGGAGTTTTTGTTTGCATAACTAAAACAATAACATTGCCAATGATGTCCGGATTTTAAATGACAACATGACTGACAACAGTTTATCTAATAGCATGTTCAAATATCTCATGTAAATGTTCAAATAAAGCTT